CCTCGGCCTCCCGCCGGCCCGCGCGCTCCCGCTCCTCCACTGCCCTCCGCAGCGCGCGGCCGCGCCGGGCCTCGGCATCCTGGGGACAGGGACGCGCAAGAGGAACCTGAGGACTCGCAGGCCCGGAGCCCTGCGCCCTAAACCTGTTTAACCCTCAGTTCTCATGCAGCCAGGATCTCAGACTCCCGTCGAGTCTGGGCGCTCCCACCAACCCCTCGGAATGTCTAAGGCTCCTGCTTCCATTCCTGTGCCCTTGGCCACTGTGAGGCCCGAAGTAGCCGGTCCCCTGTCCCTCTTCCGGGTCTCCATCACCTGCAGGAACTTGTCGAAGCGGCCCAAGGACCCCTTCAGCTCCTGTTCTTTCTGCTCCAGCTGTGTCCAGCGGTGCTGCAGGGCCGCCATGGTGGTGTGGAACTCCTGGGGGCGAGGAGCCGGCTGTCTGCTCAAGTCTGAGTTTGAGGGCTCAAGTCGCCTAGGGCTTTCCGGTTGCCCTTAATCCCTCCTTTCCACCGCACTGGATCCTGAAGACACTCGGCTGCCCAAGTCCATCCAAGGCTCCCACCACCCCAGGAAGAAGCCCCAGCACCTGCCTGCTGGAGGCCAAACCCAGGCCTCACTCTGAGCTACATCCCCAGCCCTTTTGTTTTTAAATTTTGAGGTTGGATCTTGCTAAATCACCAAGTTGCCCAGGCTGGACTTGAACTTGCAATCCTCCTGCCTCAGCCTCCCTGAGTGCTGGGATTACCAGTGTGCACCATGTCGCCCGGCTTCTTCCAGCCTCATCTCATCCTCTCTCCTCCCGCTGTCTCAGCCTCCTGTCCCTGTGCTTTGTCCTTGCTTTCCTGTACTCGCCTATGATGTCCCCTCTGCTTGCTTCTTCCTTCTCATCCCACCTTCCTTATTCCTCTGCAGTCCCTAAGACTCCACTTCCTCCAGGAAGTCCTCCTAGACCGCCCCTGCCTAGGCTCCCACCGCTCCTGCCCAGCGTTGCTGTCATAGCAGTCACCACCTGGGTGCTTGTCTATTTGCTTCTCTAGACTGGGAGCTCCATGTGGGCAGGAACCATGGTGAGACCCACAGTGCCCAGCACACAGTAGGTGCTCCATGCACACAAAAATCATTTGCACCAACGGCTGGTCTCACTTGATCCCCACTGGACATTCTGGTGCTGGAGGCTCACCTCTTTCTGGGCCTGCAGACCCCGGTCCACATCCGCCAGCTCCTGCCTCTTCTCCAGGAGCCGCAGCACGGGTGGGAAGCGGTCCACGCTCTGCTCCTGCCTCTTCCTGGACAGGTCAAGAAGGAGGCAGAGGTGAAGGATGCAGGAATCACAGCCTCAGGGTTCCCCGCTAGTGCCTGGAGTACCCCATAGCCACTGGCGGCTGGAGAATATTTCACTGTTCAGTGAGTGTATGTTGCACCTTAAAGGTGCTGTTCCAGGCGCTGGCGGTGCAGCTGTAAAGGAGGCAGCAAAAATCCCTGCCCCACAGGAGCTGCCATTCTGCTGATAAATAATAATACAGATCTGGGTATCCTGGTGCGTGCCTGTAATCTCAACACGCAGGAGGCTGAGGCAGGAGGGTTGCCAAGAGTTGAAGGCCAGCCTGGACTACAAAGTGAGACCCTGTCTCAAAAACCCAAAATAATAATGATGATGATAATGATGATGATGATGATACATAAGGCCAGGGCATGGTGAGTGCTAAGATGAAAAATTAAGCAGACTGAGGAGCGAGGACGTCTCCCTGAGGAGGTGACACTGGAATAGAGACTGGTGGAAGAGAAGACAGAGCAAGCTGCGTGGTTATGTGCAGGGAACAGGGTCCGGGCCAAGGGGCCAGCCAATGGCAAGGCCAGGTGTCTGCACAGGGAGAGTGAGGAGCGGAGGGAGCGAGTGATGGAGTTGGGAGCAGAGAGATGTCCGGGGTCAAGCTGCGGCAGGCTGTGTCCTTGACCATGGGGGAGGTGGGAGCCAAGGGAGGCTCCTGAGCAGAGGTGAACCCCTTTGGCAGAGGAGAGCATGGGCTTCTGATCAGGACAGCGGGGAGGGAAGGCTGTGGTGCTGCAGATGGGCCAGGGATGCCAGCTCCCTGGGGCCAACAGAGCACTGGCCACTTGTCCACCCTGCCGGGGAGAGGCCAGGGGTCCGGCTCTCCAGGGCCGAAGGGGAGTGGAAGGGCTCAACATTTCACGTGCGAGGCCGTGCCCTTCACACAGGTGTGATACTGAGCAGGACTCAGGGTCCCGGAGTGCGGGTGGGGGTGGGGCAGCTCACAGGTAATCTCTGTGCACCTGGCTCAAGGGCCCCATCACGCTGGACGCCAGCCGGGATGGGGACAGGGCTGGTTAGCTATGTGAGCTAGGCGCTCGCCCATTCTGCCCCTCACCAGCCCTGGGACCCTGTGGGAATCGCTGTTTCCCCGAGAACCTCAGTTTCCCCCCTCCCTCTCTCTGGAGGGCCTGCATCCGGCAGGGGAGGAGGTCTGGGCCATCTCGCCAGCTCCCGCCCCCTTCCCCGCCTCCCTGCCCCACTTACGGCATTTTCTCCTGCCAGACCAGTCGGAAATATTCCTCCCAGGGCACCGCCATGGCCCCTGCAGTTGCCCCAGGCTGCATTTGCAAAAGCGGGGAGGCCCTGGGGCAGTCCGGGAAGCAGCCACCAGCTCGGACTCCCAGGAGGCAGTGGCGGAGCAGCCCCGGTTGCCTGGGTAACCAAAGATACAACATTCCCTCCCCGGGCTGCGGGGTGGGGGACCCAGCCTTTGAGGAGGAGGGAGGGGTTGCAGGATGGGAGTGGCTAATCCGATGTAAATCTGGGTGTGGTAGAGAGGGTAGGGGTCCGGGCCAAGCAAGGCGTTGCCTCTGTTCGTGCCCTCGCAGGGCCAAGCCTCTTCCTGGGCCTCACTAACGTGTGTGCTCAGCCACTCAAAAGGTTATTTCTTAGGGGTGTGATGTAGCTCAAGGTGGAGCGCTTGCCTAGCATGTACAAGGTCCTGGGTTCAATGCCCAGCACCGACAAGGAAAGAAAAAAAAAAGAAAAGAAAAAGGATACTCATTGAACACATGCTGTTTGCCAGGTTGTGAGCTGTCATTCACCGCAGGGAAGGATACCGACGACCTGCCATGCTCCAGCCGGTTGAGCTTCGCCTCCAGTGCTGAGGGGCGGTTCTCCACAGCGCCCCCAGATTGGCTTGGGAAAGAGCGACCGTCAGTGCCCCCTGGTGGCGACTGGCTTAAAAAACACCGGTGGTCTGGACTTGGGAGAAGATGTCACAGATCCAGCTGTTATTGGGGGTCAGACGGGCAACGCCATGCACTCTGCATTTAGCATCTGATTTAATGCAAGACAGCGCTAAAGGGGTGCTAGCGAAAAGTGCCCAGCTCAGTATTAAAAATACTCGTGGGTCCTCCAAGTGGAAGAAACGGTAACATTTGGTCATTTGTTTCTGATCGTTTTAATTTTTCCACTTTAAATAATTTATTTTTTCCATTCAGAGAAATGCATTTCTTACTGTAGAATAACGTTGTTTTAAAAATCTAGTTACAGCCAGGCGCGGTGGCGCATGCCTGTAATCCCAGCACTCAGGAGGCTGAGGCAGGAGGATCACTGGGAGCTCGACACCAGCCTGGGCTACAAAGTGAGCTCCAGGCCAGCCTGAACTGCATAGTGAGACCCTGTCTCAAAAAGACAAAAATAAATAAATAAATCAGTAAAAATCTAGTTACTAGCCGGGCGTGGTGGCACACACCTGTAATTCTAGCACTGGGGAGGCTGAGGCAGGAGAATCACTGTGAGTTCAAGGCTCGCCTGGCACGTGTGCAGAACTGCACGTTCACCACTACAATCAAGAGAGACAGCATCTCCATTGCCGCCTTATGTCCTGTACCTGTTTCCAGTGACATTGACTCTTGCGTCCAATCTGGCTTGCAGCAACAACAAGCCTGCTTTCTATCCTTCATAATTTTGCCTTTTCTAGAAGCTACCAGGTGGGATTATATACTTTGCAGCCCATGGAGTCTGCCCGCTCTCCTTTAGCAGTCTTCATTACAGGCTTGCCAAGTTGCTAGCCGCGTATCCATAGTTCGTTCTTTTTCGCTGCTGGGTAGTAGTTGTGTCATGGATACCGTACGCCAACAGTTTGTTAATTCATTGTCCACAGGAATTGCAGCTGGCTCACTTCCAGTTCTGGGCAAAAGCAAATACAGCCCTTGTCCACGTCCAGGTTCTGTGAGAACCTAAGTTTTACCGTCACTTGTGTAAATATTCAGGAGTCGAATGGCTGGGTAACAAGTGTATATTTAACTCTGTAAAAAACTGCCAATGGGTTTTCAAAGCAGCTGCAGCCCACACCTTTTGGTGGTACTAGAGGTTGAACCTCGGGAGCACAGAGCTACATTGCCAGCTCTGTTCATTTTATTTTGAGACAAAGTTTTGTAAAGTTGCCCAGCCTGGGCCCAAATCTGCAACTGTTCTGCCTCAGCCTCCCAAGTACCTGGGATTACAGATTACTTTTTTTTTTTTTTGGTACTGGGACTGGAACTCAGGATCTTGCGCTTGCCAGGCAGGTACTGAGCCGCTGAGCTACATTCCCGGCCCCTCAGATTACTCTTTTGTAGCTCCACATGCCATTTAAGAAACAGTATGGAGAGATCCTGTCTATTTTCCACCCAGTTCCCTCCAGGGGTAGCATCTGCACTATTATTTTTTGTTGTTGTTGTTGTTTTTTTGTTTTTTTTTTTCTCCGGTACCAGGAACCGAACTCACGACCTTGCGCTTGCCAGGCAGGCGCTTTTGCCTCTGAGCTAAATCCCCAGCCCCATCTGCACTATTAGAATGTTGGCATGGATTCAACTCCCAGTCTTGGTCTGATTTCAGCGGCTTCACGCGTGTTCTTTTGCAGGTACCCACGCATACTTGGGTTTATGCCCTTTTGTGCTGTGTAGATTCATGTGACCACCACACTCAAGACTCTGAATATTTTACGTCCAGGACACTGTCTGCTATGATCTATCAAAGGGCTGAATTATAGCCATTCCGTTTAAGGATCTTTTGGGGAAGGGAGATGCTGGGAACCGAACTCAGTGCTTCTCTGCATATGGCGGCACACACCTGCAGTCCCACCTACTTCAGGGAGGCTGAGGCAGGAGGATGACTTGAGCCCAGAAGTTTGAGATCAGTCTGGGCAACACGGCAGAACTCTGAGTATGAGTCGCTTTTCCATCGCTGGGATAAAATACTTAACAGACACAGCTTAAAGGAGGAGAGATTGGTTGGGTTCAGTCCAAAGTTGGCCGACTGCAAGGCAGAAAGGCCATGGAGAAGTGCCTGGTGGAAGACAGCGGCTCATCCCACGGCAGCCAGAAGCAGAGAGGGAGAAGGAGGAGCTGGAATAGGAACAGGCCTTCTCAGGTCACGGCCACAGCACCAGGGAGCTGTCAGGGCCCCTCTGACCGGGCCCCACTTGCAGACCCAGGCCTTTTGGGGGAGATGATTTAGATCTAAATCCTCACACCCCAGCTCAAAAAAACAAAAAGAAGAAGGAGGAGGAGGAGGAGGAGGACCCAGGGCCTCATTCCTGCTAAGTGCATGCTCAAGGGGCCTAACTGACCTCACTCTCCATTCTGGACCCTGACGGTGAATGGAGCAAGGGAGCTCGGCCGTACAGACGGAGAGGGCCTGAAGAAAGCGGAAACAGAAGACCAAAAAAAGCTGATTGGTCATTTTCGAGTTCCCTTCTGGCAAGGCAGAGAGACCGACGGGAAAATCATTGCTGAGTCCATACAGGCGCTTTCAGGTTAGTACTTCTGTGTGAGGCTTCAAGCAGAGGGGATTACCTCATAAGGTTCCTTTAGGCAGGCCTGTCTGGGAAATTTGGTTGTCATCTCTCTAATCCTAATGTCTAGGAAAGTCAGGTAGGCAGTTTAATTTCAGCTTTGGCATGAGGGACTCCATTTTGAGTTTTAGCCTGCAGGAGTTTAGTTCAAGCAATGACCTGTGATTTTTATTTATTTTTTATTTTTTTTATTTTTTCCGGTACCGGGAACCGAACTCACGACCTTGCGCTTGCCAGGCAGGCGCTTTGCCACTGAGCTAAATCCCCAGCCCGACCTGTGATTTTTATTTTGCATTTTTTACATACATCCCCACCTCCTGACCTCTCCCCTCCCTAATCCCTGGCAACCATACATCTGTTCCCCATCTGTACAGTGGTATTTTGTCAAGAGTATTCTATAATGCTGGGTGAGGCAGTACGTACCTGGAATCCCAGCATTTGGGAGGCTGAGGGAGGAGGATCTCGGTGAGTTTGAGGACAGCCTGGGCAACATAGCAAGTTCAAGGTGAGCCTGAAGTGCATAGTGAAATCCTACCTCAAAAAAAGTGTTATATAAATAGGATGATATAGTATATAATCCTGGGGCTGGGGATTTAGCTCAGCAGTACAGCACCTGCCTGGCAAGCACGACATTGTGAGTTTGATTCCCAGTACCGGAAAAACAAACAAACAAACAAAAAAGTATATAATCCTTTGAGATTTTGTTTTCACTCTCTTGGGGTCCATCCTTGTTGGTAAACTTGGGTATCAGGAATTTGTCTCATGTCTGAGTAGCATTCTGTGCTAAGAACGTACCACACTGTTCTTAATGCTTTAGGGTTAGGGACATCTGGGTTGTTTCCAGGTTTTAATTATTAAGAATAAAGCGCTTTTAGCCAGGTGTGGTGGCACATGCCTGTAATCCCAGCACTCAGGAGGCTGAGGCAGGAGGATCATTGCGAGTTCAACGCGAACTTGGGCTACAAAGTGAGCTCAAGGTCATCCTGAATTGCATAATGAGGCCCTGTCTCAAAAAGACAAAAAACCAATAACAAAAAACAAGAATAAAGCTGCTAGGAAGAGTCACATGTGGGATTGAGCTGCATCTCTAAAATCTCTAAATCCTAGACTGAGAGCGTGGTGTATTTTAGTTTAGTTTAGTTTAGTTTAGTTTAGTTTTGTGCTCTTGTTGTGGTATTGGGAATTGAACTCAGAGCCTTCACCTGAGCTATATCCCCGACCCCTTTCTCAGTCTTGCTATGTAGTTTGGCCTGGCCTTGAACTCACTGTATAGCCCAGGATGACCTCAAACTTGTGGCACTCCTCCTGCTTCAGCCTCCTAGGTGCTGGGACTACAGGCATGCACCACCATGCCCTGGCTAATTTTGAGAGTCGATCTAATTAAATTGCCCAGGCTTGGCCTCAAACTTGTAATCCTCCTGCCTTAGCCTCCCAGAGTGCTGGGATTACAGGTGTGTACCACCAATCCCGCCTGCATGGTTAGTTCTTAAGGAGATGACCATCTTCCTTTCCAGAATGTTGTTTCACATTCTCACCAGGAATGTCTGGGTGGTTCAGGCCCCTGCATCCTTGCAGTTACCAGCGCAGCATCCCTAGTCCAAAACGCTGGAATCCAAAATGCTCCAGGAAAGATTTCAAGGCCTTTCAGACTTTAGATATTCAGATTCAGGACGTTCAACCAGTAAACTCTATGCGAACATTTCCCCATTCTACAAATTCCGACATCCAAAACACCGCTGGTCCCAAGCTCGATGAGGCAGGAGGGATGTCAGTCTACACCACTCTTTCTCTTAAATTGTAGGCCTTTGTCTTCCAGCTCACTGTGGCTTTAGCTCGCACCGCTGCGGGGCAGGGCGGGTGAGTATCTGCTCCGCTGCGCTCCGGGGCCCTCTCCGGCACCTGCGCCCCCTAGCGCCTCTCCGTGGCTCCGCTCTGCTCGCCCTGCGGCCCTGGGGATGACCCTCCAGCCCTGAGCTCTGGGAATTCTTCATGTGATTTCCACCCTGGTCTTTTCGCTCTGTTCACACGTCTTAAAAAAGTATACATTTTTAAAACTTGCATTTTTAGTTGAGGTGTAAGAATTGTATAATTTTCTGTGGAATATGATGGGGTACTTTCACACGTATACAATGCATAATGATCTCACTGGGGTCATCGGCTTATCTAGCACCTCAAATAGTTAATGTTTCTCTTTTTTTCAATTGTTTCCCTTTCATTAGCTTGCTTTCTTCCTCTTTATATTCTTTCTCTCTCCTCTCTCTCCCTCTCCCTCTCTCTCATTCATTCTTGGTGCTAGGGATGGAGCCCAGGGCTCTGCCCATGCTAGACAGGCCCTGTAGCACTGACTTACAAACCCCAGCCCATATTTATTCTTTCTTTGAGGTGGAAATATTCAAAGGCCTCTCTTCTAGCGAATTTGAAATATACAATGCATT